GGTGAGTGATAAAGTTTCATAAATGACTTCTGCTAGGAAATAGAATGAAAGCAAAAACCAATCTTGCATGAAATCAATGTCAAATACAGTAATCCTGTTGATGCAGAACTGTGTAATATGTAAAAAGATTGTTATAATAAAATGTAATGGGATTGTAATAGTAATATGTAATAATAATATGTAAAAAGATTGTAATAATAATATGTTAAAAGATTGTAATAATAAAATGTTATAAAATTGTAATAATATTCCACCACCTGTTTTTGACAAACAAAGAAAAATCACTTGGCTTAGCATGAAATCCAGGTTAGGAAGATATTAATGTTCTTGCCTTTGATTATGGGGGGGGGGGGGGGGGGGGTAAATCTGTGGAAGATACCTTGGAATCAATTGTTTTGATTAGGACAACATTTTGTGGTTTTGTCTCTAATTTGATTGTGTGAGCATACATTTTTGAGGTATTCACTTTTAAATGTTCTTTTTTTTTTGGTTCTTTTTTCATTTCATGGATAATATCTATCCACAAATTAGACACATTAAAACCCTAAGTTCCCAAGGGCAACCACAAACCACACAGAAAGACAGACAATACCATGGCAAAAAGTATAAAGACAAACATAACAGTCAACAAAACGCTATATAGATAACCAGAATATGAGCAACACAAACTCGGCTGAAAACTGGGGATGAACTCAGGGGCTCCAAAAGGGTAAACAACTACATGTATGTGGAAATATTTTTGACATTTCAGGATTGTTTCAGATGGAAACTTTACCAACTCGGAAAATAATTTTTAGCTTTTACTCTCTGCTGTGATGGAAATACATTCTCAAGAAAGGAAGGATACAAGAGGTAAGGGTTAAATAGTCTTTACACTATAAGAAAACACTTCACTCTTGCACTGTTTCAACAATATTGTACTTTTTTTTATAAATCATTAGATTCTGAAAAAACCTGTTTGATTTATTGTACATGTATGTATCACATTTTTTCCTACAGATTGATTGCCTCCATCTTTGTCTATTTAAAATAAGCCAATGAAATTGTGGGATTTGATGTTTCTTGATTTTCAAGAATGAGTATAATACATGTTCTTATAAATAATTATCCTATTGTTTACTTCGAGTTCAAAACCAAAAATTTCTATAAATGAGCTATAACTGCACATTTATCTTGTTAACAGGATTTAAAATAACTATGATTAAGGCTTACTTAATCATGAAGAAAGGGATTATCATTCTCTAACATATACATATTAAAGTTAAACACCGTTCCATTAATGTTTTTATTCACCTACAGCATTCTCTAACCCAAATTTAATGATATGGAAAAAGGGAAATAGTGATAAGAAAACGGTAGTTTCGAAAAGCAATATGGAATAATTCTCAATTTCACAATCCCCCCCTTTCTACATAACAGTTAAGATTCCTCTTAATTGCATAGCCAAAGTGTCAGGAATTTCAGCAATAAAAAGGAATATGCATTTGAGAGAAACATTTGAAACAAGAAATGATTGTAACAGGATGCTGTTACGAAGTCTCCCAAACGAAGCTCCCATAATTCGTAATTCCCAGGGTCGCCTGACATTGGGCCACATCCAGTGAAAATTGGTTTGGTCCATTAAAGTTATATGCATTAGTGATGCCTGGGGACTAACCTTGTATATCATTCAAATCATCTTGGCATGACAAACCAGAATATATATGGTTTAGGGGTGGGGATCTCGACCATTTACAAGATACTAGAACATTGGGGGTGGGGAGGAACCCCTGGGGACTGGCCCTATACGTCATTCAAATGTTCATTACATGAGGAACAGGAATATATATGGTTTAGGGGTGGGGATCTCAACCATTTACAAGATATAAGAACATTGGGGGTGGGGGGAACCCCTGGGGACTGACCGTATACGTCATTCAAATGTTCGAGACATGACAAATAGGAATATATATGGTTTAGGGGTGGGGATCTCGACCATTTACAAGATATTAGAACTTTCTCAAATGGCAGGGGGTCGGGATGACCCCTGGGGACTAACCCTGTATTTCATTTGATGTGCTTTATCATGACAAACCAGAATATATATGGTTTAGGGGTGGGGATCTCAACCATTTACAAGATATTAGAACTTTCTCAAATGGCAAGGGGTCGGGATGACCCCTGGGGACTAACCCTGTATATCATTCAAACCATCTTAGCATGACAAACCAGAATATATATGGTTTATGGGTGGGGATCTTGACCACTTAGAAGATATTAGAACTTTCTTAAATGGCAGGGGGTGGGGTGACCCCTGGGGACTAACCCTGTATTTCATTTGATGTGCTTTATCATGACAAACCAGAATATAAATGGTTTAGGGGTGGGGATCTCAACCATTTACAAGATATTAGAACTTTCTCAAATGGCAGGGGGTCGGGATGACCCCTGGGGACTAACCCTGTATATCATTCAAACCATCTCAGCATGACAAACCAGAATATATATGGTTTAGGGGTGGGGATCTTGACCACTTACAAGGTATTAGAACTTTCTTAAATGGCAGGGGGTGGGGGTGACCCCTGGGGACTAACCCTGTATTTCATTTGATGTGCTTTATCATGACAAACCAGAATATATATGGTTTAGGGGTGGGGATCTCGACCATTTACAAGATATTTGAACTTTCTCAAATGGCAGGGGGTCGGGATGACCCCTGGGGACTAACCCTGTATATCATTCAAACCATCTTAGCATGACAAACCAGAATATATATGGTTTAGGGGTGGGGATCTTGACCACTCAGAAGATATTAGAACTTTCTTAAATGGCAGGGGGTGGGGGTGACCCCTGGGGACTAACCCTGTATTACATTTGATGTGCTTTATCATGACAAACCAGAATATATATGATTTAGGGGTGGGGATCTCGACCATTTACAAGATATTAGAACTTTCTCAAATGGCAGGGGGTCGGGATGACCCCTGGGGACTAACCCTGTATATCATTCAAACCATCTTAGCATGTCAAACCAGAATATATATGGTTTAGGGGTGGGGATCTTGACCACTTACAAGGTATTAGAACTTTCTTAAATGGCAGGGGGTGGGGGTGACCCCTGGGGACTAACCCTGTATTTCATTTAATGGGCTTTATCATTTAGAACATTTTCAATTAAAAAGATTGTGTCTATCACAAACGGTTTTCAATTTATAATCATTTGAAAATTTAAAAAAATAAAATCCCATAGGGTTCTATAGTAAAACCCTCTTTTCTTTTTGCCCCTCAAAGTACCCCTTTATAAACCCCATTGCACAAACAAAACCCTGATTGCACCACTAGACATGTTAGTCTAACATATTGTGAAACCCTAAGTTAATCTGACAAGCGGTTTTGGAGAACGGGTGCGGACAAGTTCAAATTTAAAAGCGGCGGAAGAAGAAGAAGAAGAAGAAGAAGAAAGAAGAAGAAGAAGAAGAATAATAATAATAAGAACTGAGCAAAAACAATAAGTCTTCCCAAACTTCGTTTGGGAGACTTAATAATGATACAAAATAAATGGGGAATGTGTCCATGGGACACAGATGATGCCCCCGCTTGCATATCATATAAAGTTATAAAGGGACATAACTGAAAAATTCGTAAGGGTTCCGCGGAACCCAGTGTCTCGTCTACTTTTTCTGTTAATCGCAGGCTCAACAAAAATGAGGAAGTAAATCAATAAAAATATTCCTCTTGATACTATCTTTTGATTGTAAGAAGCTTCTGTCCAAGTTTGGTAAAAATCCAGGATAGTTTATGAATCTAATAAATGTTTAAAAACTTTAACTGCAGACTGAATGTAATGTTAACTGGAAGAAAACAAAATTTCCTTCTAGATACTAGCATTTTATCATAAACAAGCTTCTGTCCAAGTTTGGTACAAATCCAAAATAGTAAAAGAAAGTAATTAAAATTTTAAAAACTTTAACCACAGATTGAATGTGTTGTTTCCTGGCAGAAAATCTAAGTCCATTAAAAGTAAAATACGGAAAAAATTGATTTATTTTTTTACAAAATTTCCTTCTAGATACTAGCTTTTGATCATAAACAAGCTTCTGTCCAAGTTTGGTACAAATCCAAAATAGTAAAAGAAAGTAATTAAAATTTTAAAAACTTTAACCACAGGGTGAATGTGTTGTTTCCTGGCAGAAAATCTAAGTCCATTTAAAAGAAAAATACTGAAAAAATGGATTTATTTTTTTACCAAATTTCCTTCTAGATACTAGCTTTTGATCATAAACAAGCTTCTGTCCAAGTTTGGTACAAATCCAAAATAGTAAAAGAAAGTTATTAAAATTTTAAAAACTTTAACCACAGAGTGAATGTGTTGTTTCTTGGCAGAAAATGTCAGTTCATTTAAAAGTAAAATAAGGAAAAAATGGATTTTTTTTTTACAAATTTTACTTCTGGATACTATCTTATGATCATAAACAAGCTTCTGTCCAAGTTTGGTAGAAATCCAGGATAGTTTAAGAAAGTTATTAAAATTTCAAAAACTTTAACCACAGAGTGAATATTTGTGGACAACGACGACGCCAACGGAATGTAGGATCGCTATGTCTCGCCTTTTCGACTAAAGTCGAAGGCTCAACAAAAATGGTAAAAGTGACGCTACCAAAATTTGTACTTGATCTGAGTTTTGTGGTAATAAGTATTGTGTATAAGTTTCATAACATTTGGTTGAGGCAAATTAAAGTTAGAGAACAGAAACCAACTTTGGGACGTATGGATTGACGTACGTACAGACGGACAAGGGTAAAACTGAATGCTCCCTCCGCTACGGCGGGGGCATAAAAAGTGATTGTCCACCTTTTTTATTGGGAAATATAAGCATATTGTTATAAAAAAACAAAAGACACACTAATGATGCACCTTTGATGGAAAGCACACAAAGTTGTTATAATATAAAACCTTGCAAAAACACCATTTTGACATGACAAAATTTCAAATACTAATTAGTATAATTTCAAAATACTTGCATTTTTCCACGAATGGTACACTTTTTATCATTTCTAAAAAAAATTATGCAATTTTAAAGAAGTTATTGTATTGACCTACAATGTTGGGAAATATAAGTTAGTTTTTTTTTTACACAGAAGATATAGGAAATATTTTTGTGCATTGAATTTTTATACAAATAACAGGAATATGTAACAGGTATGGGATAAAGTGAGTGTATATTAACAGTACTTACATGTAACATTTAAAAATGTAGAAATACCATAGTTCAAGCAGCAACAACATATTATGTATAAACAATTTTCTACAGTTAATGATGATGAATTACAATATTAGAGATCTATAGTTTATAGAACATGCCAATTTTTTTTTACCGTGGTTTGTTCCTGCTGGGTACACTAGCTGGCCATGTATGGTAAACATTATACACTCCACCGTCCTGGGAAACTGAGTAAATAGGGTAATATGGATAATAACCATAGTAATAATTCTGTTCTGATGGCGATGTTACAGCTGGGGAAGAACCGGCCTCTGGTATACCACTCACACATGAAACACTACTCCGTCCTGGGTGCATTGTGGAAGATGACTAGATTTTTACACTTTATAATTGAATAAGAACTAAAATTTATCCACTATCAAGTTCTATATTGGGATGAGTGACAATTTGCAAATATTGTCCAACTTGTTAAATCGACTACACATGGCAGAGTTAATATAGGTCGTTGAAATGAAAATGACATGATATTACACCACGAAAACGTCACTAACCTTGGCAGAGAGATAATCTAAAACAAATCATTCAATGTGACATTTTCACTGAGTCAAAGTGTTATTCCAGAAGTGTCAACATATATAATCCTGGATCAGCTGATTTAATTCCCTTAATTATACATCACATTTATATATATTGATGCAGTATAAATAACAAATAAACATGTTTTTTTTCTGCTCCAGTTGTTTACTATGTGGACAGACAGTTTTTCTTCACCTGACTGATAAAAACATACACACCTTCAGGATACATATGAACTTCTTGAAATAAAATTCGGTCTAGGTTATTTTTAAATGTCAATGCTCTATTGGAGTTAAAATTACCTGTGTTAGCATTAACAAGGTTTTCACCAAGATCTTTTAACCTCTAGTTAATGATGAATCTAACCTTTTTATAATATTTATAGTCCATTTTCTACACTGTGTCTTAGCCTGCAGCAACCCACAAACATAACAAACCCAAACATGCCAGTATCCATATATAGCCTTTCTTAAGTTCTAAGCTGCTCCCAGTTGAAAACAAGCTGATTATAATGAGTAGGTTTCGATTAAGTCCAAATATGGCCCGTTTACTTACTCAAATGACTGGACAGGAAACAGATCTCTTTTTTGAAAATGAACAAATTAATATTGACCGGAAATACACAGCGTATATGTCAAAAAAAAATCTTTTGACATAATGTTTGTTAAAACAAATTACATACATGTATCTGACTTCAATATTCAGTTTGTCAAACCCTGAGCTCTATGTTTCCTAGGCAGGAGTGTGGTTGAAATCCATACAATTTGGTCAACTTTCACCAAAATCTCTTATTTTTGGACTATTTAGGGTGGAAATGTCAATCCTTTATATGAAAGCTTGACAAAAATAGTTCTTTTTTATTATTTTAAATGAACTAGATTCATTAGTGAACTTACTCTTTTAACAAGGACTACCATTACATCCCATCTACACAAAATTCATAAATGTCCCAAAATAATATACCATTTATAAAAATAATGTTTTGGTTTACATTAATTATTATTTTGTCAACAATATTCTTTTAATTCTTTAAAAACTCATGTGTTAAATGGATTCTATATTTAAATTATTTGTAAAAGATTTCCACTGCCACCTGGTAATAGAAAAGTTTCACTGGTTCATGATGGCACACTTATTTATTTCTGCTTATATTACATGTATTAACTGACTAGTAGCCCAGTTACCAAGCATAAAATTATTTTATTGCTTGAATTTATTGCAGATGTCTCTTAAACAAATACATTGAATGGCTATTAATTGAAGTCAACTTAAGGGCAGGACCATTAGGTTTAAGACTTCCCAGCAGCTACATCTCTGGAACTGTGTGTTTTACAGTAGATGTGGATGGACTAATAGACACAAGCCAATACCTGGACTAACAGGTAGACAGAGAGACAGAGAGAAAAACAGAATGAAGAAATTACAGGATTATTACTATTGGATAAACATAAGAGTTGGCAGAGTGGTAATAACTATACAATTCTATGTGTAATTAATCATTATGCACTAAACATATCTATATAATATATAACCTATACTGAAGCCTTGATAAATTTGGTACAATATTTCAAATCGATACTACAGTTTACCCTATGACTAAGAACAAGGTGAGTGTACTGGACTGACTTCTGTTCAACCTAGATTTAGTATTTGTAGATATATAGGTTTATCTATTTGGTCATGCAAACATCCATTAGAGTATGGTCACCTATCCTTTATGGACTTTTTTTACAGACTTAATTATAAACCTGGCAACAATACTTTAAATGCTTTCTTTCAAATTTAATTACAGATATTGCATTTCTTTTAAAGATGGACTGGCCTTTCAATTTACTATTAGCTTGTTTCTTTGGCCTTTTATATCCTGTAAATTCAGAAATTAATGTGTGCATTTTTTGTTGTAAGTCCTTGACCTCTGGTAACAATGAGAAATCTAACTGATGTGATTGTGTAAGTCCTCGACCTCTGGTAACAATGAGAAATCTAACTGATGTGATTGTGTAAGTCCTGGACCTCTGGTAACAATGGGAAATCTAACTGATGTGATTGTGTAAGTCCTCGACCTCTGGTAACAATGGGAAATCTAACTGATGTGATTGTGTAAGTCCTGGACCTCTGGTAACAATGAGAAATCTAACTGATGTGATTGTGTAAGTCCTGGACCTCTGGTAACAATGGGAAATCTAACTGATGTGATTGTGTAAGTCCTCGACCTCTGGTAACAATGGGAAATCTAACTGATGTGATTGTGTAAGTCCTGGACCTCTGGTAACAATGGGAAATCTAACTGATGTGATTGTGTAAGTCCTCGACCTCTGGTAACAATGGGAAATCTAACTGATGTGATTGTGTAAGTCCTGGACCTCTGGTAACAATGGGAAATCTAACTGATGTGATTGTGTAAGTCCTCGACCTCTGGTAACAATGGGAAATCTAACTGATGTGATTGTGTAAGTCCTGGACCTCTGGTAACAATGGGAAATCTAACTGATGTGATTGTGTAAGTCCTCGACCTCTGGTAACAATGGGAAATCTAACTGATGTGATTGTGTAAGTCCTGGACCTCTGGTAACAATGGGAAATCTAACTGATGTGATTGTGTAAGTCCTCGACCTCTGGTAACAATGGGAAATCTAACTGATGTGATTGTGTAAGTCCTGGACCTCTGGTAACAATGGGAAATCTAACTGATGTGATTGTGTAAGTCCTTGACCTCTGGTAACAATGGGAAATCTAACTGATGTGATTGTGTAAGTCCTGGACCTCTGGTAACAATGGGAAATCTAACTGATGTGATTGTGTAAGTCCTCGACCTCTGGTAACAATGGGAAATCTAACTGATGTGATTGCAAAAATGTTATGAAGGAAAATCACTACTAAAATAATGAAATTAGGAAAAGTCATGGATACAAAGTGACAAACTGAAGGACAAAATGTTCACCTAATATCCCCACATTTTTCTAGCAGCTTATATACGGAGAGTCCTACTTGGAGACATTGAGTTGATATAAGGTATAAGAGACTGTGCAAATAGTAGTTTTTTAATCTGATTGACTATCTTTGATATCATAAGTTTAGCCATTGGACTTCAACAAAATTATCAAAATCTATTTCTTTACTCCATTTTCTCCCAACTCTTAGAGCAAATTGTATTGATATATATATATATATAATAATGGCATATAATAATGGCATTTTTTGTTTTTGATACTTAAGATCAGATCTTATCATACTGAACAGTTTTGCTTTTTTACTGTTTCTCACTGTATATCTATATATTATAGTTTGTGCAAAACCTAGAAAAATCAAAGCAAAAAAAATCTTTCACAGGCCCCCGGGCAACAGTACTCCAAAAAGCAGTCCCCCGTGCTTCAGTTTTATGCTCTTATAATATAGCCCGTCTCCGGGTGCAGGATTTTCTCGCTGTGTTGAAGACCCATTGGTGGCCTTGGGCTATTTTCTGCTCTTTGGTTGGGTTGTTGTCTCTTTGACACATTCCCAATTTCAATTGACAATTCAGTTGAAAAGATGACTTATTTGTAGATTTCTTTTGCTGAATACTTTAGCTTTCTACAATTTCTCTCTATTATAGTTTCTGCAAAAAACACAAAATATGAGAAAAATTAGTCTTTAAAGAACAATAACTCCTACATGATGGTCAATTGACAATTCGTCCATGTTGATGTGTTGTAAGAATGCCCAGAATATGCAGATTTGTAAATCCAGAATATGCAGATTTGTGAATGGTCTTGTTTAACAGTGTATGTAATGTAGAAAGTAGTTTTGATAATTTGTATAAAAAGGAAAAGTTTTTATTTATTTTTCATAACGACAGAGTTTGCTATTTCACAGCCAAAATCTGCCATGAAGTACTTTTTAAGAGAAAGGTATTTTATACTCGTAATGACTGTGTATACTGTTTTATTTTTTTATCTTCTGATTATGATTACAAAAAAATTGCTTTTTAATATTATGGTGTTTTATGCTATTAAAGATATATTGATGTAATATAAATGCATTTTTAATGTGTGTTTTACAGTCTCTCATAACTCTTTTTAGAGTGGTTCTTTTAAAAAATTGATCTGTTTTTATTATTACATTGTGTTGTATGTCAAATGTTTTAAGGATGTTCGCTACTCTATTTCAAAATAACAAGCTTTTCAAAAGACTGTTTTAAATTGATAGTATATAAATAAAGAAACTAAAAAAGCAGAAAAAAGATGAAGGGTTCGTGTGCTTGTTTTCGAGATATAAGCC